TTGTCTTTTCTGGTTTCGCTCCATCTGGGTTCCTCGAGTCTTGACAGAAATGCTCCAGCCAAACAAGGCCCAGAACGAGACCAGAGATGAACAAGCCACCTCTTCATCTGAGACGGAACGCGTCAATAAGAGGCTCCAACAAGTTCTAGAACAACAACAGGAAATACAGACCAACTTGAGAGAGCTGGGAGGTATGGTTTTCACTCTTAATCAAGGACTCTTGCCTTCTTCACTTTCCCCAGCTTCTGTTACTAGGCCCGAGCCCCAAGCAGAATCCAAGGACCCGGTCTCAATCCAACAGGTAATCACGAAACCATCAGAATATTTCTCTGGAGACCCTAATCTGTGTGGAGGATTCTTGCTACAAATCAAACTAGCCTTCAAAGGGGCACCTCAGTTATATTCTTCCGACACAGCAAAAATAAATTATTTTACCCACCAGCTGAAGGGTGAAGCGCTTCGGTGGATTAATTCCTTTTTCCAATTTCATGATCCGGACTTTGTCTCGTTTGATACCTTGTTGAAAGAATTTCGCCGAATTTTTGACCGTCCGTTGCAGAAGCCCAACGCCGTTAAACGACTCCTGGGGTTACGCCAGGGCCGGCGACCTGTGGCGGAGTACGCCCTCGAGTTCCGCATCATCGCTGCACAGACTGGGTGGCCCGACACAGCACTACAAGGTACCTTCCTAAATTCTCTTTCTGACCCCTTAAAAGATCAGATCGCCACAAGAGACGAGCCGGAGGGTTTTGACGAACTGATCGAGCTAGCAATAGCTATTGACGAGCGCTTCCGGGAGCGGAAACGAGAGAGAGACTACACTTCCCACAATCACTCCACTTCCGGGTTCACGTCACCAGGTGAGACCTACGCCTACAAAAGATGGTCAGCGAACTACAAAGACCAAGAGACACCCGTTGCCGGTTCTTCTTCTAAAAAAACTGTTGATTTTTTTTCTGCTCAGCCCGACCCAGAGCCAATGCAGATTGGTCGAACTCATTTAACTCCAGAAGAAAAACAGAGACGTTTTGATTCCAAGCTTTGTTTTTATTGTGGTAGACCTGGCCATTTTCTTGCTCAATGCCCGTTTCAGGGAAACGGAAGCTTCCGCCAGTAAAGAGAGAGTTACTGGTGGGAACTTCTACTCTCTCTCCCACACATCGATTTATGCTTCCTGTTATC